CTCCTCCTCCTCCTCCTCCTCTTCTCCTTCTCCTTCTCCTTCTCCTTCTTCTGTTTTTGATTACTACTTTTTGACATGTAAAATAGGAAGTCTGGTCTCTGCATCTCTCTAAACCGCTGAAATGCATTGCTTGGTTGGGATGGATTAATGGTGGAATTAATGAGAAACCCTACTCAACATCAGCATAGTTGGGAGTCCTCATTGTTTCTTCATGGGGTTCTGAGTTTGTATTGTAGGGGGCCTAGCGGGGGAAAAGAAGGAAACCCCCTCCCCAATTAGGGGAGAAAAATGGGGAGTTAAGAGAGGTGCTTACATGAAACCACAGATGATGATTGCTGGTGTTGTTTAGGGTTCTGTGCCTCTGACTTGGATCTACGTGTAACCAATGCAAAATTCCTAACCAACCAGCCACTAAAAAAGTGGAAACCTTTATGCTGATCAGCGCTGAATTCTGAATGCCAATGGTTGTTAGGAGTCGGGCAGCATACAAGTTCAATAAGCTATTATGGTTGGTCGTTCAGCCAGCCAGATGTTTAGACTGGATTTGGCATTTTTGTCCACCTACTGAGTCCTTCTAAAGGACCTGGGATAGGCAGATGTTGTTTGATGGTGTTCAAGGTATCGTCGCAGGATGGAAGCTGTTCCAAGTGAAGCTGCCTTTTGCAATGGACTGATGGTGATTTTGTCCATGCTGATGGTCTTCAAGTGGTACTCCAGATGTTTTGGAACCCCATTATTATTATTATGGTTGGTCGCACAGTCAGCCAGATGTTTAGACTGGATGTGGCATTTTTACCTACCTATCAAGTCCTTCCCAAGGACCTGAGATAGGCAGATTATTGTTGTTTCTTGATTCTTTGCTTTCACCCCAGTGAACAATGACCCTTTTTGCTCTTAATGTTAAATATGTTGGGTAGAGAGGTCTAAGATGACACTAGGGATTTATCCAAGAGTGCTAATTCCCGAGACATTAATAGCATAGTCCGGCCCTTATTCACTCACAAGGAAATTGTGTTATGTTGTGGGAGGCTTTTCCCCAGGCAAGTGTGCCTACGGTGTGTCCCCATCATAGTAGTCTGCAAAACAACTCAGGAATTATTCTGAACATCAGCAAACTGAAGATTTGCAGTAGGTAGACTGCGGCTAAGACTAACAGGCTAGGCTAAATTCATTTTGCAGGGGAGAGATTTAAATCAGGGTCTCGCTAGCTAATGACTGTGCTGTTCATCAACCTTTCTCTGTTTCTTTATCCACCAGCACATCCCGTGCAAATCTAATAATGGCTAATTGCACACCATGCAGTGGTCATGCCATCTTCTGGGAGGTGGAATGCGTGTGCTGGTCCCACCATCAGCTCTTGTCAGATGCCACCAAGGTTTTCAAGAGCCATGCTGCAAATGCTTTCTGCTCAACGAGTAGAAATTGCTTGCTAAGTGTTCCTCTTTTCCCCAGCCTTTTTCCAAGTGGAGAAGAAAGTTGAAGGAAGCATATTAAGCAAGAGCCTCAAAATCAGCAAAGATCCTCAGCTCCATATGCAGCCTTGCTGGCAGCTCCCTGTGGACAATTTTTGTATATTCTCTGTACAAAGCAGTGGTTTCTGCTTCAGCTACATTTTCTTCTCTCCTTTTTTTCAAACAGAACTTTGGCAAGTAACATTCTTGATTGAAGGTTTGTGCAGAGGAATAGGAAGGAAAATCATATTGCAGTTCCAACTGCAATTGAACAAATTGATTGATTGATTGATTGATTGATTGATTGATTGATATGCATTTTCTAGCACCCACCTTATACTTGGGGAACTAAGCCAGTCACTTTGATAACAACTCTTTAACATTTTTTATTTCAAGAAACAAAGGCCCGTGATACTATTGCTACACTTGCATTGACAGGACATGTTATGTTTTACAAGTCTGATTGCAGGTTGGGGAAAGAAAGAATCAGTAATGCCACATGGTCCAAGATTTTCCTTCCACATCGTTGCAAATGTATCTCCTTTTCATGTGTAGGGTTGCTGGAAAGCAGGAAGCAGGTAGAGTGGATGCTTGAGAAATTGCTTGAATGGCTTGGAGAGATCCGAAGGCTGCTGTTATAAGCAGAGTTTGTTGTCAAAATCACATTATCGAAGCCATCTGTAGCTTCCTCTAGCACCCACCGTTTTGTTGAAGCACAAGGAAAGGCGATGGCAGTTGGGGGCCTTCAGTGAGAAGAGGGGTACATTGTTGAGGTGTATATCACACATAGCATCGATAAGGTGGAAAGTGTTAGTCCCGTTCTCATAATGCTAGAATTCAAGGTTATCCCCAGAACCTCAGTGCACAGGGGTTGAGGACCTACAGAAAACCATCCTTTTCCATTTCATTTCATACCGAAAGCCAATTTGGATGGTTTTAGAAGGAAACTGGACAGCTTCACTAAAGATCAATCTGTCTTGAGCTACTCATCCCAGTATCTTTTGAATCATAGGCAGCTTGCCCCAAATGCTAGTTTTTGGGAAATGAGGCTGCATTCTCTAGCCTAAGTTTGAGAACTTCCTGAATGCATCCTGGGGTCTTCTCTGTGACACGAAATGCTGGGTCAGGTAGGTTTATGGCCTGATCCAGCCACTACAGTGGAAACTGGGTGGGGAAAAGCATCTTCTCCAGCTGGTTTAGAGCCAAGGGCCTTCATCTGTTTTGGTCCTCAAGCATTTGCATTCCTTTAAAGAGGCTGGATGGGTTTCCTGTGATAGTCATTAAGGCGATGTTGTGGCAGAACATTGGCACTGTCTCGAGGGAGGATTCTTTTCTGCAACATCTGGTCAAAGGAAATAGTTGGGGATATGTGTCCTAGATTAAAAGTCCTCTTGGCTGTTAGTCCTTGCTTCAGCCTTTCCAACCCAGCACCCTCCAAAGGTGCTGAGCTAGGATGTTTCAGCTTGCACAAGCAGACTCAGTTTCCCTTACCACATCCTTGCCAAATCTGGAGGAGGCATGAGATTGGTGTAGCCAATGCGTCCAGCTCCAGTTCCCTCCATCTACAAAACTGGCTTTTCCCACCCCAGCAGGTTAGGAAGTCTACTGTTTGCCCGGCCTCCCTTTCCCATGGCTGTTTATTTAGACGCTTGTTTGAGCAAGAACAGCTACGTTGGCCTGTGCAAAGGGCCACCGCCAAAACGTCACTGCCAGCAAACCTTCTCTTTGTCCTTGGTCATTAAGCGTGCAGCATGCAAAGACGGGTTGCTGGCTTTCCGTGCACTTACCTGTTAGTTACTAGGCAACTGCAGAATTTACCATGGGTGACAGCTGTTGGGTAAACGCGTGGAAGTCTAAATGTAAGGGGAATTGCCGGGGGGGTTGCAACCGATGCTGATAAAAAGATTGGGAACTGAGCACGCAAAGGTCACTTTGCTGAGAGTGGCTGGAGAGAGCTCATGAGCCTTGGAGCCATGTGGCTAAAGATCATGAAACTCCCGTTCTATGGTTCTTCTTCTTCTGTGCCCTGCTCTACAGCTGTCCTGTCTTCCATGACCCCTAGGGACGTTTGTTGAGGGTGGAATATGTGTGTCCCAACAGCTGCATGCAGAAAGCAAGGCCTTTTCTGTATCAGCCCCTAGCAGACAGAAATGTGGAACTTCTTTCAACAGGGGGTGGCAGAAAGTTAGCTCTGACCCCACTGAGATAGGAGAAAAATAGATGGTTTCAGTGGACCTTGGACGGCGTTTAAAAATACCACCATGGTTGAATGCCCAGGTTCTGCTTTGATTTGGCCACACTGATTTTATTGTGTTTTTTCAAAATTTCTCTGGAAGTCCTTTGGGGCCCAAAAGTGATATATGACTACTTTTTGAGAATAAGGAAAGGAAGCCTATCCCTATCTCCATTGGTCTGTTCCCTCTAACCTGGGGCAGGGGGTGCTGAAGAAAAGCCACATTTCTTCAGTTGGGTGGGGCCAAGGCTAGTTGTAGGTGTGGCCAAAGTTAAAAAGTGGGGGGGGGGAATATCCCTTTTGAAATGAGATTAAGGGTGTAGGCTCCAGCCTAGAAATTTCCTCCATCCCTTTATGATTTGGTGGATCCATTTCTCCCTTCCATCTAAATTTGTGCTCAGAGGCACTTCAGAATCAGAAAGCTGATGCATTTGATGTCGTAATGGTCTGAGGGGATGACCTTGGGAGATAGGAGCAAGAGCTGTAGGCTAGACAACCATCATAAACAAGATTTTTCACCCCACAGAAGGAGAGGAAGCATGGGAAGAGTTTCAGAAGGGGCCCTCCCTAGTTTTCTGGAGAGTAAAAGGAAAGGAGGGGAGAAATACTTTCAGTCTTGCAAGATTCTCTTAATGTAACTTTACAATAAAGATAGAACTAGTACTTCTGGTTGCGCTTCTTGTCTGGGCTACCGCAAAAGGCCAACAGATGTTTTTGAGGTGTGGTTGCTAATACTGCTAAGAGCGGCAACAACAATAATTTCAGGAGTTTTTTCTTTTAAATCATAGAACACAGACCACATCAAACCCTTTCCAGAATGTCACAGTGGGCAGAGAAATAGCAGAAAAATGTACACAGTCATGTCATATATGGATAGGGTTGTGTCTGCCTGGTGGGGTAAACTAGATAGGAATCCCAACCCCATGAGCTAATCTGCTTTACTGTAAAGCTACATTAACAGAATCTTGCAA